CCAAGTGATACCAGTTTTTAGTTTTATGCCACAATAATGTAATGTTTCTTTAACAGCTTTTACAAATCATACAACAATAACATAATAAACAAATATTTTTGTGATATTATCTTGGACTGAATATAATAAACGAATCTTATTGTGATATTCTCTTGGACTGAATATAATATACAAACCTTTTAGTGATATTATCATGGACTGAATCTAATAAATCTTTTTGTGATATCTTGGACTGAATATAATATACAAATTTTTTAGTGATATTATCTTGGATTGAATATAATATACAAATCTTTTAGGGATATTATCTTGGACTGAATATAATATAATATACAAATCTTTTAGTGGTATTATCTTGGACTGTTTATAATAAACAAACATTTTAGTGATATTCTCCTGGACTGAACATAATAAACAAACCTTTAATATTGAACTTAATGAAGTCTTCGCAACCACTTTGGTTTGGCTTAACAGGAGCTTCATCACTGGTTCCAAGTGACACCAGTTTTTAGTTCTATGCCCAAATAATGTAATGTTTCTTTAACAGCTTCTAAAAATCATACAACTGCAAGGGAGATGTAACTGGTCTTACCACTATGAACATAGCGAACTCATGCAATGTAAGCTTCTTACGACCTGTTATAAAGTATATGTTGTTTCATCCAGATGTAATCCTATAGATGTAACAACATGGAATTTTGTTTTTAGATCTTCACATAAGTATATGAAGGAGTGAATATCCTTTGTGTATTCTCTTCAACATCATGGAGAACAAACAGTTTTATCAACACTGGATTGTGTGGACAATTGTATTTGAACTTTGCTGTTCCAAGAATGTTCAATGTTGTGCATCATCTACGTTTTAGGCCTGGCACAGATGCATTACAGAGCTTGAACACTAAGTCCTTTGAATCTCCACCCTATATTTGAAGTGATCAACTAAATTTGGTGTATTCTGCAAAGCTAAATGCTGTTAATATTGTAAAAATTATTTGAGTAGTGTATCTAAGAGGCTAAAATGGAAACACAGTTTGATACAATTAAGTTGTTTTTGAAAATGTAAGTCTGTGTTGTTGTTTTTTTCAATTGATATAATTAAACTGTGGTTTTATCTAAGAATAATTTATGTTAATTTTCTTAGGAGTATCGTGGCAATAGCAGGAGAAGATTATGCCGTGATAGCATCAGATACCAGATTGAGTGCCGGGTTTTCCATCTACACCCGGGAACAGTCAAAGCTTTATAAGCTGTAAGTATCATAACACCAAAGTGTGACAAGAGTTACTTTGAGATCGTACTTTGTTCTCAGTTATCCAATATTGATGAGCCAAAATTCAGAATATTAAAAGTATTTTATGTACACCTATTTAGCTTAGAATGTTTAATAGTATCTGAAGTTGAAACAGTTTATAATTAACCCAAATTACATTAATCATTTTGAGAAATCGTAGACTATTAATGTAAACACATCATGAAAGTTCTCTTTTTTTTCTGTTGTTTTTAACTTTAAAGCTAAATAAGGTTTCGAATTTAGTGCAGAGTTTTATAGAGATTGGAACAAAGTGATCATAGCTTAGCTTGGTGAGATTTTATTAGAAGAAATGGCATTTCTAAACAACTTTGCTTAAATTATGGTCCTTGGTTATAATTTTAGTATGGGAAAAAAATTATTTTTATTGTACACCAGTGAACGTAAACACAGTCAAGCTGTTTGCATTTTGTTTTGTGAATCAAAACAAGGATAAAATTGACTATTTTATAAATAAAAACTTTAGAGAAAAGTTTTAAAAGAATGTAGTATGGTGTAAAAGTCGGTAATTAACATTTATAACAAAAGTATTTTTGAGTGTTTCTTAAAAAAACATCCCAATTAAATCTTTGAAATTTCAAAGCTACAAATTCATACAAATATCACATATAAAAAAAATTAGATATTCTAATATGATATCTTACCTCCTCTCACAAAAATCTTTCATAACTTGTACTGCCCTCTATTGGCATAAATTTTTGCTCACCACTAACCTTGCTACTCTCACTTATTACTGCATACTAATATACAAATGATCGTGCAGCAACCCTCCACCAATAAAAGTGTGGCACGACTCCTATCATAACTAGCACCCTCTATAATCATGCACATGTCAAACTGACACACCTAGAATTCATAAAGATAATATAGTGTACGTAACTTCTGTAATATCTAAAATTGACTATGCACGTTAATCACTTGCCAAATTCAGGCATTTAGGTAGATATTTGTCCAATGTTGTATTAATTTTTTTTTTGCCACAGATATTTTTACAGTGAATTGGCAGATTGTCTTTTAAATAACTGAGATTTATCACTGACATTTTATCAATTTCATTTAAACAGGTCTCAGAAAACTGTTCTTGGATGTGCAGGTTGTTGGTGTGACATCCTAACTTTTACAAGATTTCTGGAAGCACGATTGAAGGTAAATTTCTGAAGTTATCGTACATTACTTGATGAAACAAAACATATTGTATATTTGTAGTTTATCACTATATCTACATATTTAAAAACAGCATATTAAATAACACCATTTTTAATTGTACTGAATATTAGTCAAATAGATATCTATAGTGTAATGAAACATAAAATGTTTGCATTGGTTTTATTTTTATATCTAAAAATCTTACATTTTGTAGTTTATTTTATTTTTCAGAGGTCAGAGTAAATTTAGTTAAGTAAAGTTAGTTTAGTGTAGCCGTGTACTTAAAAAAACATTCAGCACATTTTCTACCTTTGATGATTATAATGATATCACGGTAGCTTTTCCATTTTTTAATCCTAATGTGAACAAAGCTGATCTATAAATCACTGTAATAATTGATACCCTTTAAAAAACAATGTAAAAAAAGTATTTCAACTGAGGATTTGTATGTGTAGGATGACCAGTTGACATTGTGAACCCTGGTACTGAGTGAGAGGTCTTAGCAACAGCATTTTTTAATCCTAATGTGAACAAAGCTGATCTATAAATCACTGTAATAATTGATACCCTTTAAAAAACAATGTAAAAAAAAGTATTTCAACTGAGGATTTGTGTGTGTAGGATGACCAGTTGACATTGTTAACCCTGGTACTGAGTGAGAGGTCTTAGCAACAGCATGCGGTCAAGATGCTATTATATTTTTCTTACTGGAAACAATTTGAGATCTAGCAAAGAAAAATTTGTTCAAAATTATTATCAATCTTCATCTGATGTAATATCACACAAATCACTGATTGTTTTAATCCTATTTTTTGTTGCTCTATTAATGTTCTTTGAAGCTAAAGGGTTTTTAATGGTCTTAACAAAGAATTAAGTCATAAACACTATTATTATCAGTCATTTTGTATGAAATTTGATTTTTAACGTGTGATAGCTTTCTGCACTATATTATTAACGATTGTTACTATATAATGAATTGGTACCTTATCCATTTTGCTTAAATAACAATCACTATTTTTTCAAAGTAATAAAGTCAGCAAGTATCTAAAGAGTGTACACTTATTGAAGCTTATGTACACTTGTACTTCAATATCAGAATAAAACTAAACTGTATAGATTTGATTCCTATATATTTCTCTATTGGGCAGAACTTGAGTGTAAATTGTTGTTTACATTTAATTATTCTGACATTATAGTTTTGTAAAGTAAAGTAGGTTTAAGGTCTGATGTTTTGTAATCGATGATTATATCTATCATTTTGTAAAGTAAAGCAGGTTTAAGGTCTGAGGTTGCGTAATTGGTGATTATATCTACCATTTTGTAAAGTAAAGCAGGTTTAAGATCTGATGTTATGTAATCGGTGATTATATCTTCACCATTTTGTAAAGTAAAGCAGGTTTAAGGTCTGATGTTGTGTAATCGGTGATTATATCTACCATTTTGTAAAGTAAAGCAGGTTTAAGGTCTGATGTTGTGTAATCGGTGATTATATCTTCACCATTTT